TAAACACACGCGGGCAATTAACGAGCTACGGCTTTGGGATGATTGATGATTTTTTAAATGTTTACAATGCTCAAGAGTGTACACACGCAAGTACATACCCTTACATATCTATGCATTTAAGTGAAACACAAGCGAGAATGCCTGGGAAAAATCAGTTCATGAAAAGCAAGATACTAAATATGCGAGTATGTACATATGTACGCAGGCGAAGCCAGCCAAAGTGGTCCGCCGACCCAGTTGGCTTTAAGCCACACCGAAAGCTAAAAAACGCCAATATTTTACGCAATTTAACAAGTGTGTTTTTTTGCTTTGCTGCCATTTTCATTCGACTCATTTCGGTTTCTATGTGCTTCAAGTGCTTTTGTTGTGTTTGTTGCTCATTTATGTAATTAATTTTTAGAGCAATTTGTGCGCTGCTGAAAATAAATCTTTCCGTCTTTTATTTCTCCTTTGCTGGCGTACGATTTCCTTTCCATTTTCGTGTTTTTGTGCTGAAGAAAAAGTTTGACCTCGGTTGGCTTTGTGAAAGGGAGTGCCATGAAAAGGTTTAATTGAAGGTGCTTTAAATTTTCGTAACAACCATTGAGAAAGTTTATAAAAGTGCAAATAAATTTATGGGAGCGAATTAAAGGCTTTGCTTTGCAGAGATTAACGCAAAGTTGTTCGGCCTTATTAGAGTTTTTATTTCAGAATTATGAAAAAAGAAAGCTTCTCTAACGACAAACAATTTTTAAATCTTAAGTTGCTAAGTGTCGTTGTGTTCAGTGCAAAAGTTTCTTCAAAGCACTCTCAAAACAGCGGCAAACTGTGGCAGCGGCAATTAAACCGTGTTTGTAATTAACTCTTGAGTTAACCCTTGGATATGACGGAAACTTGATTAAACAATTTATGTTTTCTTAGAAGAGTTGTAAGATTTAAGAATCAAACAAGTTTGAAATAATTCGAAACAACTATTTCTAAGAGTGTATAAGTAAAAGTAAAACATAGATTAGCACATTGTACCAGATTTTTCAAAAATCTTCCATATTCGGCCAGACCGTACATTTTTTCATGTGACAATTTACATTCCACATCTATAAATACATAAGTACATATAGGGTATATAATCGGCGCTTACCCTTTCCGCATTACTTGCGTATTTGTTGTTGTCTTAAAAATAGACCAATCTAACAAATTTTAGATGACTTCGAACGGCTTTTGTGCTTTAGCTATAGACTATAGACAGGTGAGTTCACTATACAACATTGACCAGTGTATAGAATAACTTGTGAATAGCTTTAAAATTTCTATGTGCAACTGGCTAAACGTAGACTAGGTTACGTGCATTTAAAATTTTTGTCTCCTTTTCACCGCCTCCAATAAAAATTGTTCAGATTTTCTCTTTGGTTTTAATGTCAATTAGTATTTGAACTTAATATTTGAAAGGAAATATAGTTTTAAATAATTATATTATTTATGAAATATAACAGCACTAAGGACGTGCTCTCATCACTGCGAGTTTGGTCGTCAGGTGTCGTACTTATTGAGTAACGTTTTTTATTTTAAAGGGATGGGATGGTACTAAAATAATCAATCTTATTTGCTTGTTGTTAATTTCTCTTTTTGTTGTGTCTCAATGTGAAAATAAGGCGAATAAACTCTGACCAACATAAGAAGAGGACACTCTCTTATTAATGAGTCTAAATTGCTAGTCTGTAGTCGGCATTATGTAATTTATTTTCATTTGAATTAGTCATTCGCATGGGTTCATTTAATGTGTGCGATCTCTGCACTTTCCTTCAAAAATTTAGCTCCTTTTGCTAAAGAGTTGTCTTCAACAATGCGAGTGAGTGTTGGATAGTTCTTCAATAAATTAGTATGTATATAAGCGGAATTTAACATCCGTTCATTTTAATTGATGATAAATTGCTAAACAAATGGAATTGTGACGCATTCGGGAAATTGCGAATGTCAAATGTTGCCGCCTTTGCGACCGCCATTGCTGACACGATTCATTAACGACATAAACAAAAAGTTTCTTCTCTCCAAAAACAACTCAATTTAAGTGGCGTGACTTTTCAAAGCGTTGCATATTTGACCTTTTTTCTAGAACCTCTGATTAATAAATACCAAACTGTCAAGCAGTGAAAACTCGCTGAAACATATTGATAGCGCGGGAAAAACTATACACGTTTTGGTGAGGCCGGTGACGTATACATCATTACCGACAACAGTAAAAACAATCTTGGCTCTTGAATAGCGAATTAGTGCCCATTGCCCTTTCTGTTGTAAAGAAATACATTAATTGCCATTAATGTATTTTCATTTACTTGCTTACTTTTACTTTTAATAGAAGCGTGCAAAAGATCTGGCGAAGAATATAAAAAGCAATTAAGATTCGTTACGTATTGGCTATGCATGCAACATTGGCGAAAATGGCACGCAGAAGCTGTCCTGGTTGCTGGTGAGTGGCACCGAAGCATTGAACTTATCTAACAAATACATGCGCTCACACATTGTTTTGGGGGAGAGGTCTGGAAACCGTTGTGGCTGCAAAAGTTACCAAAGAAATTCTTAAGTTAAACGAAGTAATTCGTAATTAAAACATCGCCATTGATGCGAAAGATGATGGTAGGAGAGTCATGCGCAACAGTGGTACAGATCTATACATACTTTTGAGAAAATCATTTAAGGACAACTAACAACTGATATTTAAAAATTGTATAATTTCCTTTTATAATAAATCTTTAAAATCGAGTAAAGTTATTGGTTTCAGATGCCAAAATTAATAATTATCCATTCTTTGTTATGGATTAAAAATAGTAGTGTATATATAATATGTTTTCCAGAAATATTCCTATAAGTATGAAACATATCACCTGAGAGGCTAATTGTTTCTGAATCAGAAGTAGCGACGACTGTGAGTGAGTGTTATCAACTAAATATGAAATGTGGACTTTTGCGCCTCTAATTTGTTTGAAATTGTTTCGACAAAGGCGTATAAAATTACAGTAAGCGCAGAGTAATACAATGTATACCATATACAATTCAATGAATCTGTTTATTTTTTCTCTTTTTTTCCAGCGACATTTTGAAAAATAAATATTTAGTTTCTGAGTATAAACTGTGATGAGTGAAAACTGAAGCATAAAGATCAGATATTCTCCTGGAGATTGTTTCTTTCTTCAAACCCTTTGGGCTAACATTATTAATGATAAAGAAAAAATTGAGATTAGCCTATATACATACATATGTATGTATGGCTTTAATGAAACGAACTATCGAACTTTTATAATAATTGCATTCGAAATTATGTTACGAAGTTAGTTAGTTAACTACGTCTCATTGGTGGTAATATCTAATCATTCTTGATTAACACGTTTCTAATCCAGAAAAAAGCAAGCAAAGGGTTAAAACGTAAAAGAAGAGAGTGTTAATAGTTTTTAAAAGTAAAGGATGTAGAAGTGAAAACTTAAAAAATTAGAAGAGTTAAGTATTTTATTAGACTTAGTTCAATACACAACACAAATAGCCAAAAACGCAATTTTCCGATTCACCTAATCTTCTGCTAGTTTTCCATTTCTTTACTTGTTATAAAGAGCCAGGCTAAATGCTTTAATTGCTTTGCTGTGAGAACTGTCAAAACTGAATAGAACTATACCAGAGTTTATGCAATGAGGCCAAATGTACTGTTTCTTCAAGCGCTTGGCAAAAGATTTTGTAACTATGGTTGCCAGTCGGTACTGTTTTTCTTTCTATATTGGCACGCAATATTAACCATTTACAATAATCTTAAATTTTTAATCTACGTTAAGTGGCAACCGTGCTTGTAACATCTCAAAGCGCTTTTTTGTTCATACAAGCATTCAAAGTACGAAAAGTCAACGAAAGCAAGTAGAGCCGGCCAGCATTGGGCCTGGACCTTAAGAGTAATTCTTGAATTTGTTTCCTCTTCGTATTAATTGTACTTTATTTTTACTGCTAAAGAGAGTATTATAGTTTTGTTCACATAACGGTTGTTTGTAAGTCCTAAAAATAAAAGAGTCAGATATAGGGTTATATATACCAAAGTGATCAGGGTGACGAGTAGAGTTTAAATCCGGATGTCTGTCCGTCCGTCCGTGCAAGCTGTAACTTGAGTAAAAATTGAGATATCATGATGAAGCTTGGTACACGTATTTCTTGGCTCCATAAGGAGGTTAAGTTCGAAGATGGGCAAAATCGGCCCACTGCCACGCCCACAAAATGGCGTAAACCGAAAACTTATAAAGTGTCATAACTAAGCCATAAATAAAGATATTAAAATGAAATTTGGCACAAAGGATCGCATTAAGGAGAGGCATATTTGGACGTAATTTTTTTGGAAAAGTGGGCAAGGCCCCGCCCCCTACTAACTTTTTTCTACATATCTCGAAAACTACTATAGCTATGTCAACCAAACTGTATAAAGTCGTTTCTCTTAGGCATTTCCATATACAGTTCAAGAATAGAAATCGGAAAATAACCACGTCCACCTCCCATACAAAGGTTATGTTGAAAATCACTAAAAGTGCGTTCACCGACTAATAAAAAACGTCAGAAATACTAAATTTTACGGAAGAAATGTCAGAGGAAGCTGCATCCAG